CCCATAGCAAGAACTCAGATAACTTACCTAAACTGTTTTATATATACACACATTCATACATATGTATATACACACATATGTTTGGCATATCCTCATTCCTTTCCAGTTCTGTTCCTTTATTATATTTGCTTCCACTCACATGAAATGGTAATCAAACACACACCTTCAAGAAGGTGAAGTAATTTGACTGTTTAGGTTTCAATCACTAAGATAAAACTACTAAAAATGAGGTAATAAGTGAACTAAAGACACTTAAGTAACTTTCAAGGCTACAAGTGACATTTGCAGGCAGTTTTCATTTCTGTTTCAGTTTGTTGGGGGAAAGCACCCATTCTTCTCACTGCAAGTGTTAAGAATTTAAACCATTATTATGAGGTTATTATTTTAGTATCTATTTTTGAGTCCAGTCATGCCAAGTGGTACTTATCTTTTGTAATGCAAGTGAGCTGATTGAAGAAACTGAAAACTGATTCCCTTTTACATTCCATGAAATAAGTGAAAACAGGACTATATCTAGCTCAGGTTATCATATTAACATTTCACTTATGGATTCAAAATCTTGCAGGATGCATTCAAAATCCACATGATATCTTGAGTGCTAAAGTTTTCAAGACGATCTGTACATTAGCAAATAAATAGGCAATGTAAGAATACAAGTTTGGCCACAGACATAGCAGCTAGTAACACAAAGTCTGAAGCTACTTCACCTAAGGATGCAGAGAAACTGATTTGGATTAAAAGAGATGCAGACAACAATAGTTTGTTCATCAATGTACCAAAAGGGGAAAGTCTCTGATGAAACTGCAACCCTTTAAGACACACAAAATTAAGCTGAGAGGGACCAGACAGCAATTTTCTAAACTGGAGCCTAGTAGAATTCAAGTTACATATTCTCTGCTGCAAATAAATATTGTTATATTAAGTATTTGCACTACAGTATCCATCTTACGCTTCTACATACCAAAGTAAACAGCATCAACTTCACAATAATCACTCCAATGTTCTCACCAACCTCTCCCATAAAAAGGCTGAACTTTGGGGTGTCCAAACCCCAGCTTTTGAAATAGGTATGAAGGACAGACAACAAGATATGACTTGTATAATAGGCAAGTTCTGGTATAACAAACAACTTGAAAGTCTGTAAAGGATGCAGTAAGCTGAACAGAGGAGGAATATCCTCCCTACACACCACAAAGTATACACGTCACACATCCCTGAGGTCAGAGGGAAAATACCAGGACTTATCCTCACAACAATCAAAGGTATTAAAAAAAAAAATAAATAAGAGAATTGTGGATTTCTGCTTTGTTCAGAAGTACAGTCAGAGGTTGATGAGAGGTATTGCTGAAGAAGGCTGAGTAGCAGCAACAAATACTGTGCACAGATTAATAGGCTTACACAAAAAATTGTGCTAAAAGCAGATCATGTTGAGAAGGAGATCACTTCTTCCATTCTTTTACTGGAATTTCTTTCAGTACTCATTTATTTCTCCATCACTCTTCCATTTCACTAAGAAAGTATTGGTTGATTACCAAAAAACAACAGTGAAAACATAAAGGAAGTTTTGCTTCCTGTTTCCATTACCTCCTTTCTCCTCCCAAAGAGAGAACCATATGGCAGCATAAAATCATCAAATACCATTTTTTAATTTTTTGCAAATTTATCATGTGTGTTCGGTTGTACAGAAGGCAGTTTAGCCAATCTGTTCTTTCTGCAATTTACACTCATCTCTATGGCCCCCTATTACCAAAATTCAGGCACTTGAACCGACAACACACTGCTATAAGGATAAAGTTTTAAGAAAATTAAAAGCTAATGTGCCTTCCATTTTTCTGTTATTGAAATGCATCACTGAAACTATATTCCTTCTGGTTTTCATTGTACTTTTTCTCCTCTACTGTACATTGTCTTCATCACATTCACCCATATTCTTTCCAAACTCCTATTGATTTGTCTTCACCATTTCTCCCGCACAAGCTTTCTCTTTACTCAAGTTCTGTACTCTCTAATTCTCACATTCTTCATTCCACGTAAACATTCTTCTAAAAATCAGATTTAAAATCCACAGACTCAGTTAGGTCCACTTTACGCAGTTCTTCCAAGAGCAAACAAATCAAACACACTGTGAGTTGTCTTTTCTCACTTCAACAGAGGTCCATTCCTTGGTAGACTACATTGATTTTCATGCATTACTTTTTGCCCAGTGCTCTGCTCCTCAAATGTAACTAAAACATCTTCAAGTTGATCACTGGCTTCAGAATTGCTAGCAGGTATTTATCATCAAAGTTCATTAAAAGTTTTGAACCAAAAAAATCTGCCAAACAGCACTGGTCTGAGCAGTTCACAGGTTTCTGTGGCGATAGTAAATTTTTCTCCTATAAAAATTTTCACTGTATCCATACAGTCACAGAGTCTTCCATCTGCATTTTAGTTTGCCACTATCCCAATGTCTGGTGGTCCTGGCAACCACTCACATGTGTCCTTAAACTTCCTGGAATTGCACTAAGGTTTTGTTTGGTTTCTTGTTCTTCTGCTTTCTCACTGTAACTTTCTTCTTCTACCTCTACGAAACTGCGAACATTTGTTCATTGCATTCCTTCCAACTGCACAAGTTTGCTGCGGCCCAAACCCGTTTCTCGTTTTACATACATGCAAGGAATAACAAGAGGCTTCTAAAAGAACTGCCAGTCCTTTTGCCCTCACAGTAAGCAGCCTAGTGCTACTGAGTTTGCTTCAAAGAGTGCACCTTCCTCAACTGTAAGCCAGAATTTAGCAGTCACCTAAATTTTTCCCAGTTCTGCCAACCAAGTAGAAAACCATTGAATTGAATTTTCAGATACTCAGTAAGAATTTCAGTTTGGTTTAGGAGTAAAATAAGGTGCCTTAAATCTTAGTGACCGATTCAGTGCTAATACTTTTCAAAGAGAAGCTGTTCCGTATATAAGTAATGTTTACTGTCAATAGATGAGGCAGGTAACATTTCTGGTATCTCATCCACCATAAAGCTGCACTTTGAAATCTCAGAGGCAAGTGATGATACAGTTGGGAGGAGGTGAATGCTGCCACATGCCACAGAAACAGCAAGGTGTAACATTTTACAGTATCTAGTAGCACAGGATGAAATAGCCATTAAATAACAGGCAGCCTCTGCCAGGAAGAAAGTCACAGAATGCTTCCTGAAAGGTAAATTGGAAGAGATGGTCTGAAAGTGTAATTGAAACACCCAGAATAACAGCATCGAAAGCTAGTCCTGTACTCAGATTGATCAAGGAATTTTCATAAAATCCCATCTTTTTCCCCTCAGTGAGGGAGATCTCAGAGGACATCCACAAACTCAGAATCACCCATGAAGACTAACATGACTATGTTGAATAAGAACCTTGGAAAATTTTTCCACTGTAAAACCCTGGAGTCTCTTCTTGCTCATCATGTTACCAAAATGCTCCCCTGAGCTTTCTAATACAGCCTGCCATATTATGCATCACCAGCAAGATGAAAACAGCTTTCCAAAGTGTGCAGCCTGACCAGTCTTGCAGCAGACAAGCTTGCAGAGCCACAGTGGAAGGGAGCTCATTTTTCTCCATCAGTGAATATCCTCAGCCACAAAGTAAACTACAAAGTGTTAAACCTAATATCATCTCTACCCCAAAAGCAAATAGATAAGAAAGGAATGCAAATGTATCCAAAACTGCTATATCAAAACCACTCTCCCAGCATCTGTTTCAAAACTAAGTAAATACATATAAATAAATTTTGAAGTGTAAGAAGAGAAACTTTGTTTACCCACTTCCCCTAAAAGGAAGTGATCCCTTCAACAGAAGTAAAACCAAAATTGTTATTGGAATCTATCAAGCATTCCTTGTTCTTAAAAACAAAGCTGCTGTATAGAAACGATATGACTTGTCAATGATGTAACAGCACAATATATTTTAGTAGTTTTCAGGTTTTCTCACACATTCAAATTTTCCACCTCACAGCATTAAATTTAATTATATAACAATGAACTTCTGCCCTTATGTAACTTGTTCGCCTAAAGCTGCTGCAACTATCTGGTAGGTATAAATGAAATTTTACAAATGCTTTTTAAAGCAGAATGTTTCATATAGCAGTGTTAGACCTTGGAAAATAAAGGTCTTGAATTCTGCCACATCAGTATAGAAAAGGAAAAAAGTGTGATAATCTTTGAAGAATGCTGTGCTTGTTGATGCAGCACAAACTACTGGAAGCAGTTACCTCATCTACTGTTCATACAATTCTGCATGATTTTCATTAATTTTTCCGGTTTTGCAACTATAATATCTTAAACAAGAACAAACAGATTATCTTCCTGAAGCTTTTACAGTTAAGTTTAACTTTTTTTTTTTTTAAACTCTGCATGGAAAGTAAAGAAAAAGGAAAAAAAACCTTAAGTTTTCAACATTACTTAAAAGCAAAAGTAAGTTTGAGCTTTTACTGTCTTGGACTGACTTTCTATAGTATTAGAAATGTTAAAAGACAGAAATTAGTACCTTACATTTGAGTCACATTTACCTATTTATATTCATCAGTGGAAAATCAAAAACTTAGAGGAGTCAGAATGTAATGAGTGACTTTGTTTTTCAGATTCAGTCAAAAAAAATCCTGTCTCTTGTATAGATTATCACATCACAGTCAGCACAGACCAGAAGGCAAAGCCTATAATCTACACAGTAAATTTTCTATCAATAGAAATAAACCATTAACTTGAAACAATGCCAACTTCTAAACACTTTGCAACTGTATCTCAAGATGCTTGATTTGACTTAGTGCTGCCATTCATCTAAAAAAAATAATTTATGGTGCTTTTAAGATGTGAATCTCAAGAGTTACTTCCATACTTATTGCTTAATATAATGAAATTTGCCACAATTGCTCTAATCTCCAACTAGGGAACCATGAAATCTTCTTGGTAAACAAAAGTTTTGTTCAACACCATTAAGTGCATTTATACATAAAGATAACAACGTCATCTTGATGCTTACCCGATCATTGTGCTTTCTTTAATCTCGCCCTCTGTGCCATTTACCATCGGCTCTTGATTTCTGTTTTCTTTTTCTGAAGCATCACTTGAGAGGCCCAATAAAGCTCGCACTCGTTTTGACTTCACATCCAATATTGTGTCGGTGTAGCCCACTTCTTGCAGATACCTGTAGGAACAGAACTCATGCTAATCTTCCACGCATATCCCACTTACGCAAAACAGTCAATGAAAACTTCTCCCTAAACTCATCTTCAACCCCTTAGCTTAGCAAAGTATGGTGCTGAGCTAATGAAATATGCTTATAAATCATCCTGTACCAGCTGCAGAGGGATCGCCTCTCGCAGTACCAGCCTCTACAGTCACTGAGAAGCCCAGCAGTCAGAGGTTATACAATACGTTATTCATTCATTTACTAAAATGGGTGGGAAAGCACTTTCAATTAAAATATTTACAACTGCTTTATAAAAATCACCACAGTTGCATGTACAGAGGAAATAAATCCTCAAACTCTATAGCTGTAGCTATGAGTGAGAGTTGTTGTTTATGATGCACTAGGCTTGATAAAATCTTTGTCTTGCCTTTCCTTTAATCTGCAATGGATCAGATAAATATTAATTTGTCTTCCATATAAAGGCTGGGCAGAAAGCATCCTTGTAGGAAAATCTCAAGGTCTAAAGTTGGCTCCTTAGGTCTAAAGTTGGTTCTTTCACCAATATGCCATATTGCCTTTGAGGGAAACAGGAGGGATATATGTTTTAAAAAAGAAAAATTAAAAGTTGGTCTCTGTCCTTCCCTCTAGAATCCGGAGTTAATAGCACTGAACTGATTAAATGGTTAATATTCTAGACAACTCTAAAGAAGGGAAATGCTATCTTACAGTAACAGCTGTTACAAATCAAGGATATGCAGTTTTCCTGCAAGAACATTCTCGTGCAATTATTTAAAAATATCATTCACATAACCACATTAGGAGAGAAATACTGATTGTTGGCTATAGAAAAATCAAAAAAGTCACCTAGGCAGAGCAAAGTCTGTTGGTAATATGCACTCTGTATTCAGCACTGTGTCACTCTTATGAATTGCACTGAGAAGGACTAACTTGTCTTCAGAATCACTGACCCAAGTCAAGACCACTCTATTTACATTTATCCAACAAGCATGCAAAGATTTGAGCTCTTGCAAAAGAAAAGCATGTATAAGCCATCCAACAGACAAATTTAACTTCTGAACAATTCCTTGGAAAAAGGTCCTTTTATACAAGCTCCAGATTGTTCTTATTGACTCACACCACTCTCATTTAATCCTCTGTAACACACCAAATATCTTGGCAATTAATTTACTCATTATGATCACAATTCATTTAGATTTATAGACATTTGCTTCATTCAGATGAACTGAGAATTACAAAATGTCTTGTCTAACCTTCTGGATGTTACTCTTTTCTGCATCTCAAACCGGCAAAAGTAAAAGTTTTCCCTCTCCGATGCTAGCTGGTTTTATTTTACACACTTCTTAGCAGAATTACTTGTGTGTGGTGGTTTGTAACTGCGAAGTGCCATGACTCACTGTTCTCCCAAGCAGATTGTTCAATTATACTCAATGAAAGAAAAGTAAATTAAATCAGGTGTTTGTGATTTGACAAAACTTCTCACCCAAAGTTCTGAAATACTGCAATGTTTCAAAAACCAAGGAAAAGCAGAGCATGAGACAAATGAACTTCATGACACACACTAACTTTTCTTCAATAAAATCTAACTGAAAAAAAATCAAATACTACCATCATCACATTTTATTACCAGGTTTGTTCTTTTGTATTCAGTATCTGAGTCTTTTTTTTCAACACTTACTGTCTTAGCAGCTGTCGTCCTTGTTTCCATATTAGCTGACTATTCTGTTGTGGCTGAATCTCTGCCTCATTCCCTTCATCTGAAAAAGATGATTTTATTATTTTTTTTCCTTTTCCTATTTTCATAAAAGATGCCCATCCACTTAAAAAGACAAATGTGATCTGTCTTAAAATGACTAGCAATGGTTTAAATAGAAAATAACAAAATTCAAAGTGCCAATAATCAAGAGAGAAAAAAAATGCACATAGCACATAACTGTAGTACTTCAAACACATAAAAACTGCCAGGCACATCCTACTCTATGAGAACAAGTTCCACTAGCTATTTGTGCCTTCCCTTTGGTCTCATATCCCCAAGTCCCTTCTATATTTTTTCTTTAAGGGTACCTAATGACATAGACAATCTGGAGTTCCATTTCGCATTAGCCTTCAAAAATAACTGCTGCTCCTATTAAGATTGAATACAAATATTTTAACTGCTAACGATAAATTCAACTGCAGCATGACATGGACGTTCAACTCATCTTGACAGTTCGACATAAACAAACAAACCTGGTCACATCAACTTTAAATTCATCCTTATTTGTATTAGTTTTGTAGAAAGAAAAAAACAAGCAAACAGCAGGGGTTGTTTGTCTATTTTTTAACCTGAAAAGCTGTTGAAAAATTTTCACCACATTTTCCCCAACCATAAATTTGTATGCAAATGTTACTACTCTAGAAAAATCTATGAAAAAAAAATAATTTCGCTGTTCTGGCAACAAAACCATCTAAATGTTGGCAACAAACAGCTACATGTTGACTGTGTATTTAGCTTCAAAGTATGTAATGGTGTGGTTCTTTTATTCTCCTCCAGGAGATGCATATTCTTCCCAAGATAAGAGATCTTGATTTATTGTCTACTACAAAACTTGAAAACCTTGTGGTCCAAACACTGAAGGATGAACAATCTTCCTGTGTAAACAAAAATTAAGAACCAGAAAAACCTCTAGTATTATCCTATGAGTAACTTGATATGGAATGTAGGAAAGCTATTATTTTCATCAGGAAGTCATTCACCTTTAAACAACTTAATTAATGCCACACACAAAAAAACCGCCAACACCTACCCAAAGAAACCATCAAAGACTGATCAGAATTCACATGCAAGGAGAGCCATGAGTTTTAGCCATCTTGAATTCACTAATTCATTTAATAGCAACCACAGGAAATAATCAATTGCACAATAATTTTCCAATGACAACTGAACAGAGCTGGATCCAAGGCACAGCTACCAAAGTTCAGCCTATAATTATTAAAACATGACTGAGGTAAATCTGCCTGAAAATTCCTTTTGAAAGCAAAAACCTTTCTTCTGAAGGCACTATTAACCATATTCACAGGCAAGATTTCTCTTGCGCTTAGTCTCCTCAAAACTGGGGACCACTAGCAGTAACAGTGGTTCATAGATAAGAATGGAGGGACTTGCATTATGAGCAAATAATAGCAGAAGGTATCACAAATAGTATAAATTTCTTTTTTTAAAAAAGGCATCCCTTTACCAGGAGATGGAACTCTTTTCTTCTATACTGTGTAACTGATTCCCCAAGTGATCATAAAGAAAACAAACAAAAAGGACCCATTTGGAAGAACTACTTCCACATTTTTTTCATGACTGGGCAGGAAAAATAGGGACAGGTCAGGGAGAATACATAGACATTCAACTAAGTATCTATCAAAGACAACTTCAAAGGAGTATTATAACAAAGTTTCAATTCCATAACAAAGTTTCTACTTTAAGTGTATCACTAATCAGTCCCTATTTAATATAGAACGAACGTATACATTTCTGATAGCTGCATATATAGAATACAATGGGATAAATGAGGATAATGGAATTCCAACAAAGTAATTGCACTGCAGTTCATTTTGCAGAAGTAATGCACAGGCTATGGCTCTGCTCGCAACACAGGCCTTGCACTACATTCCTCCACTGCAAACAAGCAACATGCTGTACCTGCATTCTGAGAAATTACCAATTAAAAAAAAAATTGTCTAGGGTTTTGGTACGTCAGAACAAGGTTTTCTATTGGTCCAAATAAAGACTGGGGTCTTCCAGTTCGTAACACCAAATTATTTCTTCAGTTAAGGAAATAACTTTGATAATAAAATGAAGTAAAATACCTCAAAAATTCATTATAACTTGGACAAGAAAAGCCTGGTGTAAAGCTTTAGCAGTTGGTGTGGGGTTGGATTTATTGTTTGTTTGGGATTTAACAACCTTCTGAAACTACTGAGGTAAGAATTAACCATGACAGTAAACTAGACCATCCCCTCCAAAAACCAAATGACAAAGCTGAGGTCTGCAGACTTTCTACAATCTACCTTTATGTACAAGGGCTCCAGTTTTGTTTTAGTAAGAGCATCAGAGGACTGAGACACGAAAAGACATCAGCTATTACTTCTTTCAATGGTTGGACCTGTAACCAGATCTCTGTACCTCTTCTTTTTTTTCCTCAGGAAAGGATAGGCAGATAGAGGGATAAAAGGAAGCAATTTAAATTCTTAATTCCTCAAGTTCGGTGCTTCTATCTATTTGTCTGAAGCAGGAGATGAAAACTCTATGAAACTAAATCAGCTTTCCAGAGAGCAAGGGAAAAAACTGTCCTCTTACAGCATTACACTGAAATTAGCTGAATGCATCTCCAATGATGATTTGAATTCTTCAAATAAATCCCCCACTCACAAACTCTCACTTATGTTTAATATGTACTTCCACTACTTTTCTCCTGAAATATCACTGAGGTAATTTAACAAAACATTATGTACTATATATTTCATTCAGAAAAATTATCCAAAGATAAAAAGATTCGACAGCTATGAATCTAGTGTCGTCTTATTCTAAAATATCCATACACATTACTAAGGGAGAGAAAAAACTATTCTCTAAGAGTAGTTTTTTCATTTGGGGTTGGATTTTTTTAAATCTAAACTAACTTGATTTATTAATAGACTCTTTTAGAGCATTAGCATTATTTTTCATTGCACAAGAGTAAAATAGTCTTTATTAATTACCTCTATTCTCACTGCTTCCATTAAGCAACTTACTTTATCAACACTATCAATTCAGCATTTGCACAAACCGCAGTTAAGCTTTTATGCCAGTAATGAACTAATGTTTAATAAATTCTTACCTGAATCATAGTTTGGTGGCTTCATATCTCCCTGATTCAATTCTGTGCCATATTTTAATTTGTGATATTTAGCCCTGAAAGAAAACAAAAGAAAAAAAATAGAAAAAAACTATTAGCACATATAAAGGTTATCTCTAAACACACAAATATCACTCATTTTCACTTGAAAAGCCATTCTTTTCTTCTAGGTTACGAACAAGACAGAACAAATAATTTGACCACAACTTTTGATATGTGATTTTGTTTGATTATTTTTTCCAAGGTTTACATGCAAAGTGAATAGTGATGAAACACAGGGATCACTAGACTGCAGATTTTACAAAATGTTCTTGCCACAGAAAAGGTTACTTACTTGTGGACACAAGCTACTCTTCTGCTTCCCTCCCCCAGTGTTTCACTGTAAAACATTTTTTTCCTATCCATGTCAGTTCAGCACCATCTACTTCATATCTCATATTGCCACCTCCATTAAGCAAACTTTAGTTTTATTCTTCGAAAGGCTGTGCTTTCCCACAGCAGCAAGCTCTCAGAACTATTATAAGTGAGATTTAGCAATGACTGCTCACCTACCCCAGTTTCTCTCAAAGTTGCTACATCTGTCACTTGACCAAGTGCAAAATGGAGACTTCCAAAAATATTTAGCCTTCAGAAGGCCTAATGTAATAAACCCCACAAAGCGTTCCATACAATGACAAGAGTAGCTATTAAAAAAAAAGGGAAATGCTTTTTAATTTGAAAAGCTTCATCCTACAGAGTCAGTATAGACTTTTAAACACAAAAAATAACACCACAGTAGTACAGGATTGCAAATGCACACATAAGTTCTTCAAATTAGAGTAGTCTTATAACACAGTAACAGAAAGGCAAAGAAAGCCTTAGCTAGTTTCACAATCTGTTCCCTCCTTCTCTCACACTGTAACTTTATAAGATTGTTTTCTGCCAAACATGAAAATTTAGACAACTCAAAAAAAAATCCTGATGCCCTATAAAGTTTTCTAGACATACACAACTGGGTAGAAGACTGGCACTCATACTAGTTTCTACTCAGAACAAAAGGCAGACAACTCAGAAAATGCTGAGTGTGCAGCCTGGCAGTTATGGGACAACCATCAAATACAAGCATACACACAGTTCCAATGCAAATGTCCAGAGCTAGGTGTAGGGTGGCAAGACATAGGCTACAAAAGATAAAAAACTTAACCTCTCCCATACACCAACGTGAAAATGAGTTCATTAGCTCCACTAGTCACAAGGGAACTCTTCCACTCAAAATTTGTTTTTTAAAAAGTTAACAGGTGTGACACTTTGTAATTGTATGAGGCAAGTCTCACTAAGCTTGAATGACTGTATAAAGAACGACTGTAGAAAATGTTTTCAAGTTACCTACACCTCTTGATGGTTACATAAACCTCTTGGTTGTTTCTCAGATATCTTCATTGCATTACTGTTTTCCTTTGCCTATTCCTATTTCACCAAGGAAACTCATTATTTCTAACAAAATGGTGCTGAGGGAACTGATCCTTGGTGTTCCCTGATGCTTCCATATTGACAGTACTAGCTTCTTACTAATACAGCTGCATTTTAATGATAATAAATGATTTTAATGATAATAAACATTTAACTCTGAATGAGAAGGGTAAGTGAAGAGTGAAGTGCCTCTTAGGTGTAGCAACACAGACAGGTGAAGGAACCAACCCCTCAAGAACCAGAGCACTAAGTTCTAACTCAGCTGAGCAGCAACCATTAAGGAAAGGAGAAAGGATATGCCTGGAATGTATTTACAGCAATAAGTGAAGGTTAAACATTCTGGTCAGTACAGAAAAGAATAACCAAGAACAGAACAAAATCAAAGGTGAATGCCCAATCAGAATATTTATATTTCCTTTTCCAACAATCTGTTTCTTACACCTCACCAGCAGAGAGATGTCACCCTGGTAAAATATTATTGTTTAATATTGAGGCTATGTTTACTTTTTCCCCATCATCACTAATAAAAAGTAATGATTAATCAAGAATTAGGAAATCCTCTACTGTATCATCAACCTAACTCACCAACTTTAAACACTACAATTTTTTATACAGTCATGAATTCAAGTGACCCTAAAGTTTAACCTATTTTGATTTGACTTAACATAGCAAATATTAATACTCTGTTTTCACCTGGATTACTGACATATGCCGTGTTGTACTCAATTCCTTCAAATAATTTCAGAGAGCAGTTAGTTTTTGCAGCAGTTATTTTTAGTTCACCAGCCTTATCCAGAGTTCCCCTATGCTAAGCATTCACTAATTTTCTTATCAAGTTTTTGCTAATAATTTCCTACCTAGGTTCACTGAAAGGATCATTCCTTGTACATCCTTTTCCTCAAATCTCTCACATGTTCTCCAAAATCCATCTTTTAAAGATTCAGTCTGCAGATTTTTAAACTTCTCAGTATATTTATTTCCATTTCCTAAATCCATGTATGCTTGTTTTTAAAATTTCTTTTCCTCTTAAATCACCAGTAATAGCCTTCTTTCTTCTTATTAAAGCATTATAAAATCAGTTCAACAAAATGAGATTTTTGTCATTCTATTCACATTTTAAACGGTTAATAGCAGGTTCTTGTAACTGTTTGCACCTCATAATGCAACAGCTTTTAAAGCTTTTGTTGTTATTCTCTACTTCAAGAGGATAATGCAGATTACATGGTCTTGTACACCACTGGCCCTTAAATCTATTTTAAGGCCAAGCTGGACTAAGATTTCATCTTTTAGAAGATCTAACTTTGTATATCACAGGCAGAGACCAGTAGCACTAGATAAGGTAGAAGAACCAGAGAGGTTGTTCTTCTAACAGAGAGCCAACTGAAGAGCTGAAAATCCAAAAAGCCAATATTTATTTTCAATATTGCTAGGAAAGTTAAAAACAAAAAGCACAAAATGACAAAAAAACCCCAGTCCTACACTCAAACCAGAAAAATAATTTAGTACAAATTCCTGTGTCTGAGCAAGTCGCAGACTTGAAACAGAAGCATGAGTATCATGTCATAGTACTTGACCCAGTGAACTCATCTTCAGTTATAGTCAGCTTCTAAAGTTCAGAGGAATATTAAAAATAATCCCATAAAATCAATACAGACCACTAACAGTCCATCAAAGAAATATTTTCTACACTTCTTCAAGTAGGAAGTATGAGATTTATTTTCAGAAACTTTTTTACGGTACAGATGAAAACATCACAGGTATGAAAGATAAACACCCTTCTTTCTAAAGTACAGTAAGAAAAGGGCTGAAAACCATGATTCAGACACCAGGACTAGAAGGAAGAATCTTGACCATTCAGTTATACATATTGCAATCAAAGGTTATCAAAATTCTCACAAAATAACCTTGAATTCTTTTCTACACAAATTCTGATTATAGCTTATCCCATTAACACAATTTAATCTATTTCTATAATAACATCTTCTGCCGAGCTGTCACACCTAATTTCACTTTTTCAGAAATCACATGGGCCACTTATTAACAGCTGTAGAAAGGCCTTCTGCAGTTCACTCATCAGAGCAGTGCGATACTATCATCACAAAAAAAAGTCTTTTTGCTGTAAATAAGTATGAAGTAAAATCAAAGTTTCTCCAACTTTTGCATCACATGGTCAAAAACAAGTGGTTTGGGGGAAAGATTCACAAAGATTTATTATCTGAACTTGTTCAACTTGAATGATTTACCTTCCATTACATATGGGTTATTAACAGTATGCAGAAACAGAAAAATTACTTGAAAATAACTACCTGAAGGATACAACTTCATAGAAGGTATTTTCCATCTGAAAACTAGCCTTCAAGTTGTTTGGAAGAAAGCTATTTTGGCACTGTGAAACTACATTGCTGGGTAGATGCCCTTACTCAGATAAGAATGAGTATTAGCACTGCTTTGGCTTTTGCCCTTCATTACACAATTCTCCTTTTTTGATTAGCAGTATTTTCTTTGAACTATGTGTCTTCTATGCAAACAGTGCTTGGAGACATTCAACATGGCTGCCACAACATTTCAAAAGAGTTGCTTAGGAAAAAAACTAAAAGCTTTCATCCTTCTAAATTTCCTAAGTCTAAGAGCAGTGAAACTTTTCTGAATACTTCACACAGAAAAAAGTTTGACCCCAATCAAAAAAGGCCACTATTTCTTGGAAATATCTGTCACCAGACCTGAAGCATCTAATCCAGCTGTGCTGAGGGAGCCTGCCAAAACATCCGTAGAAGATCTGGGAGCCGACGCCAAATCAAGAGACATAAACAAGAATGACTGCCAGGAACAGCACGGCGAGCTATTCTACACAGAGTAGAAGGCGCCAGCCTTACACTGATCAGACACACCAGCACAGAAAACAACATAAAATTAAATCAACTGTTTCTAGAGACATGGCTCAGGAGTCCAGTTCTTTGGTTGAAATATGTTAAGACAGGAAGCGAGCTAGACTAGGTGAAATAGGACATGTACTTGGGAGAAACAGTACTACATTTCAGCTAGCTCCTGAAAATTCAGAGGCAACAATGCAATTTACTGGTGGGGGAGTAAGTATTGATAAAGCCATAAAAAGTAACCCTCAACTGTATGCAGCCTCACACTGCAATCTACTGGATGTTGGCAAAACTACATCAAAACTGCTGTTGAAAAAATGCTAGGCTCAACTACACACTAGCTCCTTCTAAGCTCTTTGCTATTCAGTCTATTAAGACTCCAGCAGAAATAGTCAGGCTTCCTACACACACAACAAAAAGGTAGTCTCACAATTACTGAAATAAAGACCAAACATTAAACTTCATTTGTCAGAAAACCATGACAATCGGTAAATCATTTTCTACCTCGCCCACCACAAAATGACATGTGACATGAAATAGAGAATAACAATAATGCTCATGAAGCTGTTTATTTATATTAAAATTTGAAACCATTTGGTTAATAAAAGAAATGCTGAACAACCACTATAAAGAACAGGAGCCCATAAAAGCATGTATTTGAGAAAACCAACATCACCTTTTTCTTGTTCATGGTTTCCTAAGGGCATTGCAAACATGAGAGTCCTCTGGGCCACAATTTCATATTCTGCCCCATTACTCATAACTTAGTTCATCTAGCTGAGAAAGATTTGGTATTCTGCAGCCAGGACAGAAATGAAGGAATAGAGGAATATTCCCTGCTCCCTCACACCGCACCAATCTTTCCCTAACTTGACATAAATGTCTTCCTCCTACCTTGTAGGATCTCATTTACCAGCTCTGAGATCCCAGTGGAAAAAGCCAGCATTGCAACTGCCTACAGCCTGACCTGGCTGACAGCTGATTTAGGAAAATGCTGGGAAGGAGAGCAGCGCTTCCAAGCTCAGCATGTTGCCATTCTTTGAAGTATCAAGCAAGAACGCTTGCTGGGAGATACTTCCAGCTGAAATACAAGACTGTTTCTTCAGAAACTGGCAAACAAAATTGCTGTTTAAAACCACAAACTCATAAATAGCTGTCTCTAGGACACACCAGTCATAAGCATCACATTTACTTACAGAACCATTGCACACCCGTACTGAAACTGTCACACTGGATCAGATCAGCTGACTGTAGCCTACTGACCTGAGTAATCAAGGCTACTGCCATACACTGCAGAAAAACATACAACATAACATAGAAAATAACAATATAAAACCTACTAAAAAGAAGCAACCAGGTGTTTTTTCCTAATCCTGACAGGGACTACTGCTCTGGACTTTAAATGTCATAATTCAGGTGGATTTTAGAGATTAAAACTGGGCAACATTTTCACTATCTATATGGCAGTTTGATTTTTTTTTTTTTTTAAATGTTACAAAGTTTCTCTGCTAGCACACAGAAATGTATTAACATAGTTTGATAATTTTTAATTGCTAATTTGTCTTGGTTATGAACATGAAGTACTAGTACTGTCTTTAAGTAACCAGGAATAGATCCCTCAGCTTTGAAATAAAAGAAATCTTCACAGAACATATATAACTTAGAGTATATCTTTAACCGAACAAGAATATACTCTATTGTCTCTTATTGTGACTCTAAGCCTTGCAATCATGCCTCAAATGTAAGCCTTTCCACGGCTATAATCTGCAATCTCCATTATGCATACATTTGATATTTTTCCTGCCATTTGGTATAAGATCAGTACCCAGTGCCTGGCAAAAAGAGTTAATCTACCTTAAGCATCCCTCCAAGAACTCCCCAAAAAGGAAACAAGTACACTGGAGCCATGAGGCTACTGCTGGCAAGAAAACTGGTTGTTTTCATGTTAGCAGATAAATTGGTTCCTACCAGAAAGAGACGGACTGGATGGTAGAAGGCATGTCTTGTGCTAAAGATGAGCAAATCTAAATGCTATACAGTGTTGCACAACCAATAGCATCCTTTTTAAATTATCTAGCAGCAAAATCCTATTCCTCATTTTCAAATGTGTATATTTCAAATATTATTTCTACTAACATGACCTATTTGAGTTTTATTTTATTAATATTTTATTATACTTTATTAATATTTTATTAAAGAGAAGCAGGAATTATCTGATAGGAAAATGGTATGTAAACAATTATTGCTTTGCAGTAGTACCATAAATATACTCTTTATTCAAGAATTTTAAATTACATTTTACTAATAAAAAAAAATTAACTAAATTTGGCCTAAAATAAATCAGTTGAACAGAGATTTCTGAAAACATGATAAAAAACCCCAACTTGTTTGCATCAAAGATGAGAACAGGAAAGTATAGGTAGGAATAAAGCAAACTGGGGACTTCTACTGAAAATCCCCATGAAGAAAAAAAAGTAGACATCGATCAACTGGTAAACATGAACACAGAATAGAATCATAGAATCAACTGGGTTGGAAAAGACCTGCGAGATCATCAAGTCCAATGCTTGATCCAACACTGCCATGGTTACTAGACCATGGCACTAAGTGTCACATCCAGTTTCATCTTAAAAACCTCCAGGGACAGTGAATCCACCACCTAGGTAGCCTATTCCAATGCCTGATCACTCTCTCCGTAAAAAATTTCTTCCTAATATCCAACATAAACCTCCCCTGGCAGAGCTTGAGACTGTGCCCTCTTGTCCTACTGCTGATTGCCTGGGAGAAGAGACCAACCCCCACCTGGCTACAACCTCCTGTCAGGTAGTTGTAGAGAGTGATGAGGTTACCTCTGAGCCGCCTCTTCTCCAGGCTAAACAACCCCAGCTCCCTCAGCCTCTTCTCATAGGACCTGTGGTCGAATCCCTTCACCAGCCTGGTTGCTCTTCTCTGGACCTGCTCCAACACCTCAATGTCCTTCCTGAACAGAGGGGCCCAGAGCTGAACACAATACTCAAGGTGCGGCCTCACCAGCGCTGAATACAGGGAAAGAATCCCTTTCCTGGTCCTGCTGGCCACACTATTCCTGATCCAGGCCAGGATGCCACTGGCCTTCTTGGCCACCTGGGCACACTGCTGGCTCATGTTCAGCCTCCTGTCGATCCAAACTCCCAGGTCCCTTTCTGCCTGGCTGCTCTCCAGCCACTCTGTCCCCAGCCTGTAGCGCTGCAGGGGTTGTTGCGGTCAAAGTGCAGGACCCGGCACTTGGCCTTGTTGAACCTCATCCCATTGGAATCAGACCATCTCTTCAGGTTGTCCCTCACACAATTAGTGTCCAGAAGATATTTCTGCAGAGTGTTTCATATTGAAAAGACTACAAACTTAGCAAGATTAAAAGCTAGTAATTACTAGACTGAAAACAGTTATTTAAGATTCCAGTTGTCACATATTATTAAACAAAGCTAGTACTTTGAACAAAAAGAGAATACACTGTAATTCTCAGGTACAATCTATTCAGTTAGGTGGAATTTTACCAAGGAAAAAGTATTTTTTATTGATCAATCATGGGTTTTATTAGCATGTTTTTGTAGCAATACTATGTTACCTATTGCTCTTACCATAATGCAGACATTTAGACTACTGGTTTTATTTAGTATATTATTTGTCAGTTGGAGAACTGAGTATACACAGAGAAAAATACTTCTTGGTTTTTTAAAATAGAGAGGTGAAATAAAGTATCTGTCTTCAGAATTTCTTCATTATGTGCTCATCACTAAAGCAGCATACCTTTCCTGTTTAAGTGCATATTCCAGCATTTTGATTCTTCTCACTAGATCCTTCTTCAGATTTTCCTGTCCTTTCCTTTCACCTTGAAGAAAGGCAATCTGGGCCTGCAAAAGAAAGGGTTCAATTTAGAATCTGCTTCCTCAAAATCATTCAGCATAGCTCTTAGGTTTGTGTATCTTCCCAAGTTATTTTAAAATTTATTTGTAGAGTTCAAAAGAAATTGGCTCACTGTGTTTCATAAACATTAAATGCTTACAACAAACACTGCAAAGATAAGCCTTCTGAACTGCATGCTCGTTACAGATCAAAAAAGAAAAGGAAGAAAAAGATAAGAAATAAAGCAATTTTGGTTTGTTTGACAGAGTTTATTTCCTCTCTTGGCTAAACATTCAATAAAGGATAAGGAATAGATAAAATAAGCAAACAAAAAGCCTTCAGCAGATAAAAGTGTTTACCAACAATAAGTAGAAGATGATGACAAAGTATTTCTGCTCAATAACTGATGTATGGTATAATTAGTGTACTGTTCTGTAGATACATGTTAGCTACATGATACTAATAAAAAAACGTAAACCATGTTTAGCTAAAAGAAAAATGAAACCCCATTTGTAATACAGTGTTAATGATACTTACTAAAACAGGTTAAAGAAAGTTCTCCAGAAACACTATAATTAAGACAGGAAAAAAAGGGAAAACAGGGAAAGGTATTTTGGTGAGGGAGACAAAGAAAGAAATGGTGTAGAAGTAAATAAAAGTCAAGTAGATAATATCCAGCTAACCTTTACCAACTTCCAGCACAGAGTAAGTATTTAGGTGCCTGTTAAAAATCTCCTTTAAATAGAAAGCTATGACAAATACAAGATACTAATTCCTAATCCTCGAGGAAGAACTACCTGCTTTTGTACCTAATGCTCAAATCATGTCCATTATAAAAGGCAAGTTCTTGTGCTTGCTCAATTCATGAATACACTTTTAGACAGAAATACCTACAGGATGTCACCACTTCATGCCTCAGCCTCACCTGGCATTGCAAGCCACCAGCCATTTTCAGGGTTAGAAGCTTTCTGCCACCTCTGAAGCAAAGATCTCCAAGTATCTCATCTGTCTCTTGAGAAGCACAAACAGGATAAAAGGCAACTGGTCTAGACTATCAGCTGTTGAACATGAAGACCAATAAGGCTTTAATTTATTCAAATGCCCACTGCAGGTCCGTAAGTGTTTTCTGTAGGCACTGCAGTCTGTACCGATCTCTAGGGAAAGTCAGGGAGAAATGAGCAGGAATATGTTATCCTCACAACCTTGCAAGCAGTCCCCAGATAGTTTAGTTAATGGAGACAGTTGCTTCTGAAGAATAATTTATCTGACTGAAGATTTTCACTCCAAGGTGAGAAAAAACAGAACCTGTAAATGGCATTTTCTCTCCATCAACTATAAAGTGAATGCATACAACTAACTCGAGTGAATTTTGGAATCCAGACAAGATGAATCTTACTCTGAAAGGTCACTTGTTGGTGGCCATCTATAGCAGCTGCTCTAAAATATGACACCAGCTGACATAATCTTATTGCTCAAGTACAGCCAGTAAACAGCTTGACAAACACCTGAAGGATCCTTAACTGCCAGTCACCAACTAGAGCAGACAGTTTATGTCAAGTGAAAAACACTGGCTGTTCTCCAACAAAGTCAGTCTTCAACTTCAGTAGGGGAAACACATCTGAATTCCAAAAAAAAGTCAACTGAATCAAAAGAAAGGCCTCTTGCTCTGGCATCAAGCTTTCTTTCCACTTAACACTTGAATTGGGATGAACAAAAAAACTACAATTGAATTCTTATGTTCATTTTACACTCAGGTTTAAAGAAAGGCACAGAAGAAAGAAATACTGGTGCTAGAGTCAGCAATTCCTACCCTGAGGAATGTAACTGTGCAAGAAGCATGTCAACTCAACAAGGTCACCATCCCTCTGAGTAACAAAAGGAACACCTCAAGCACATATAACTTAGTTCGCAGTAACTGTGTAGACACCCAGATTCTCTCTCCCTGTCTCCAAATACGCCCAGCAACCTAAACATTCCCTTCTAGTCAAGAAGTGAGAGAACATCAAAACACACTTTTCAAAACAGTAGAAGGTGATGTAAATATGTATTGGGCTGGAATGAGAAAGATCATTCAATGCTATCAGGACACAAGCTGACATGATCTATGATGTGACCTGCTGTCTTCACACAATTCTAACCAAGAATAAACTGACTGAACACGCTGGAATGAAGCATTTTTTACCTGGCAGGTTGGCAAAGGACAGTCAGTAATGACCCGGCTCACACACCGCTGTACTACAAAGGTCAAACCAACATTACCATGCTAACAACTGAGGCTAAAGTCATCTTTCTTCCACTGGTAGCAGCCTAAACAAACTTAAAAATGCAACTTCTCAGTAGTTTTGACAGCCTATTTTTATAAGAGGGAGAGACATTAACAGATGTGACTAAGAAATACCATACATCACCACCTTCATGTGGACACCTTCTACTGTCAGTAGTATGTCAATGCTCTTACTGATGTCTTATAACTTTTCTTTTTCTTGGACTTCCACGAAATCCTTGTGTTTCTTACTCAAAAAGCAGGCAACAACAATAGAGTCAAATTCACAAGCCATGTCTTCAGCCCTACACAACCTTATTGCTAGGATGCTTCAGTGTTACTGTACATTTTACAGATAGGCAGTTTTATTGGTAAATCAAGAAACGGAGAATAATTTTGCTCTCTCCTTGGAGGTTGCACAGTTTCTAGCATAGTTTGTTTATGCTTTTCTTTAGAGTAGCAGCCTTATGTCCAATACTCAGAAATTCTGGCTCTGAAAATGAGAATAGTTACAGTTCATATGTCTTAAGCAGATTTAATTCTTTAGAATGTTCCGCAATTAACTGAAAATGTGCAAAGGAATCTACATGTTCATACCATAAAGGAAACACTTTGCAACAGAAATGAAAACTAAATGAGTACACTGAGTTTAAACATCTAAAATAACACATTATGACATCTAGCAGTGTTTCCTCAGTCTCTAGAAAAAACAGTGATAACTCCAGAATCACTGATTTCCAATCAAAACACATAGACAACACCTGTCTAAATGTCTGTGCAAACATTTAACATGTAGGAGGATTGCGTTTAAAGACGACAAAAAGTATAACTGAACTGAGCAACTAGTTTTCCTATAATTCACACATAAGTGACAGAATTTTACCAATAGTTTAAGACTCCACAGGCCACTTCCCACAGCTTCAGCTTTGGCACAAGTCAAACCTGAAGCCTGTGCTATACCTCAGGCAGTAGGAGAGCAAAGGAGATGCCCTTCTGCTTTGAGCGATCTGCAACACTGTTCTACACTTGCGCTTTGGCCACTCCTGGGAAGGTTTGCCAAAAATGTCAAGAATTTGCAAATATTCCCAACAAACAGGTTCTGTGACAACTGACCTTCTTGCTAATGAGGTTAAAATGCATCAAATTGTAAGCTAGTCATCACAAACCTCAAAATCGCCTACGGGGATCACGGGGATCACGCACAACCTCATACTGTTCCTTGCCTTATGGGTGGGGCACATCTTCTCCATAAAGCACCCAGCCCCGCTGGCTCCGCAGCAAGGAATCAAGGCAGCATCCGCCTCGAGTTTATTCCAGGCTAAGTGTTACAAATTACTGTATTCCAGCTCAACTGTGAAACTAAAATCAAGAGAGTAGGAGAAAGTAAATCAAAAAAAAAAAAACACAAAACCAGAGAACACTGGGAAGAGAGGTGCCTGGCACAGCCTATTTCTGCTGCAATTGTAGAGTCCAGTATTTTTTTTCCCCACTTTATCTCACTGAAGTGTTTCATATTACCAACTGCAACAAAACTTAGAAGTGTCCTACACATCCAGTCTAAATTAAGAGCACCGTAACTATCTTAACAATTCCACTTCTTTGTTGAGAGATTTTAAAAATAGCATTCATTCTTACATTAAAAAAATTTCTCACAGGCAACAACACTGTTGTTTTAAGAAATTCCCCAAAAGACTCTAAAGTCACATTACTGTGAAGCAGACAAAAAGGTGAGGCAATGTTTTAAGTAGCAGTGGGTTAGAAACAACTTTTTTTAAAATGCTGCTGACTTCCTAATACAGGCTTAGCAGGTATAACAATATAATCAGATAATGAAATTACATCTTAATAAGTGTGGATTTTATCAATGTTTAAAAATTTAAACTGAAATCTACACTTCGTAGAATCAGCAACCACAATAAGGATGTTAAAAAGTATCTTATATCTGGACACCTTTTTAGGCTGACACCTTGACACTACAAAACAGCAGGAGATAATGAATATTTATCTGTAACAGAAAATACTTTAAAATAAACATACTACAACTGCTAAACAACTGATGCGTGTTTAATATCAACTTCTATCAGTTCTTGAATTTTACAGCTATTTTCAAGTTCAAAAGCAATTTATCTTTTTTCATTCTTAACACTTAAGAGCTATAAAAAGCCTATTCTTTTCTTTAAAATATTTATCAATATTTTAAAGTAAACCTCACTTCAAATTTATGGGCACTTGAAGGTTAATGGGCATCATTTGAGAAAGAGCTATAATTCTCTATATAATGATTCCATAATTCAACAAGGTTTTCACAGGTTGAGAGAAAGAGAAAAAAGAAGGAAAAAAACTGCAAGAAAAGTATTTCAAAAAATAGGCATATGGGCTAAAATAACTAAATACATTTTAGACATTAATCAGTCTGAAACAGTTGTGCTAGCCAGTCTACCAAGATCTGCCAGAAGGATTCTGCAGGCTGCCAGGGTACTCAGTATTTTAGATTGTCATTGGCTCACTGACACACTGCATATTTAAATACATTTGTAAATAAGTGTCGAATGCCCAGGGGGTGGGAGGAAAAGATATAAAAAACAGGTACAAGGGAAAGGGGAAGGAAAATACCAGTGGTCTAGTACAACTAGCAAAGAATTTTTTAGGCACCATACTTAACACCACAACACACACCTACTAGCACTCTGACAAGAGAGCCTAGGAAGCTTTCATAAGGGCCTGTAGCCATTTAAGATAACACAA